AGCCTCCATTTTTCCAGTGTCTTTCTCCCTACTTAGAACTCAACCATATGGATATTTCTTCCAACTGGTAGCTTAAGGCTAATGGTAAAAGGAAGAAGTAAAAAACTCTCATAGGAAATTTTTAGTTAAACTTTTTGAATCCTTTATAATTAGATGCATTGGACAAGGACAGAGAAATGTAAGCATTTATGATGTATTATGTTTCTGATCTTTGTAAAAATGCACCAACATTCAATACTTGGCTAAGGAAAGCTTTTTTGAATCCTAAAGCTATATGGCTAGTTTCCTGTTTAATCAGATAGCACATCTGAAAGTCAGGAATATGAAAAGCAAGAGTTCTCTGTTGGGAAGTGGCTGGAGGGAGGAAGGAAGAAGTACAAGAGATTCTCTGGAAACAACCTTGGGAAACAGTCATTTATTGAACTGTCAAGAAATGTTGTGAATGATCTGTTAATTATTTGCAGATTTTACAGTTCAGTGACCTTGATAGCTTTTTAGCCAAAATAATTCTAGTACTCTGTGAAAATAGACTATAGAACATTGTCCTGCCTAATAATTTTATTGTGTGATATTGTATTTATCTTTGCCTTAAAAGATGATTAAAAACCACCTATTTATGAATAGATTTTCCTTATAGAATTGGAGATTATTTAAGAGGTCAAACTTTGAGCTCAGTACAGAACACACTAGAGAATCTGATGGCTGATTATCTAGATTCTAGACCTGTGATGGCAAACCTATGGCACACGTGCCACAGGTGGCATGCAGAGCCATATTTGCCGGCATGAGAGCCACCAGCTGTCTATCAACCTACTGGAGGACCGGGGGAGGCTGTTTTTGAATTTCCGGTTGGCCCGTTGGCCGTTTTTCACCCTCCCTGGGCTCCGGAAGCTTTCGTGAAGCCTGGGGAGGGGGAAAATGGCTTTCCCCAGAGGCCTTCTGGAAGTTAGAAATGGATCATTCCTGAACTTCCAGTTGGCCTGTTGGGTCTTTTTTCACCCTTCCCAGGCTCCAGAGGCATTCCTGAAGCCTGGGGAGGGTGAAAACAGGCCTAACGGGCTAACCGGAAGTTTGGAAATGATCCGTGTTTTTGGCTTCAGGAGGGCCTCCGGGTAAGCTGGGGGAGGCAGTTTTCGCCCTACCCAGGCTCCAGGGAAGCCTCCGGAGGCTGAGGAAGACAAAAACTCATCCTCCCAAGGGGTTGTGCACGCATGCGCAGGGGGAGGTCTGCATGCATGCACTGGTAGGCAGGACACATTTCATTGTGGGTGTGGGCACAGCGGCACGCCTTATCGTACACACACACACACACACACAATATTTTGGCATGCCTTTACAAAAAAGGTTCACTATCCCTGTTCTAGACCCATAGCAAAGAAGAACTCATTCCTTTGAATATTATCCTGTTCCATTTCTTGGGTGGTTAAACAGTCAGGAAGTTATTTCTGACATATAATTTGAAATATCCCTTATAGTTTTAATCCATTGGTTCCCGTCCTATAAAACAAGTAAGCATCTTTTACTTTAAAATTTGGTTTCTGTAAAAAAAAAAGGGGGATGGAATCATTGCCTTTTTTCTTACTCAAATTTATAAAGCTCTTGCAAAACTATAATCAAATCCTTTATGCAAATGGATTCTCTACAAAATATCATTACAATCAGTATAGAACAACTTTACAGTATTGTCCAATTGGTTTTTATTTTATTTTCAGAAAATAAGGCAGGTGTCATGTCCAAGGGTCAGGGGAAGGATTGGAGGGATCTCTATCTGAAGTTTCTGTTTCTATTTCCTGCTTGGAGAGATCTCTATTTAAAGTTCCTGTTTCCTGTATTGCTGGGCTGTGAGTTTCTGTTTCAGGCTCTATTGTGAGGAGTTTTGTTTGCACTGCTTTAAATTGCTTTTTTAAGTGGGAAAATTCAGTTCCTACCTAGACCTCTTGATATCACAGCCTTTCAATAACAGTTCCTTTTGGAATAACTTCAGTTTCAAGAGTCTTACTTTCTTGGGGAAGATTGGAGAGGCAAGACCTTACAGGCAACATTATTTTTTATGTTTGTAATGTCCAGCAACCAAGAAATGAGACCAACCGCTCCAAATTACAGCAGTATCTGAGTCTTAACTTGGAAATCAATTTCCCTTACAAAGCTATTGGAAATGTGGGAACAATTGCCATTTGCAACTGCTTCAAAAGAGCAACTTTTTAAAACTTTCAAAACAAAAGCAAGAGATATTTGCAATGTGTGTTACAGCGAAGGTAACAAAAAGCATGCTGAGTCGAATAGCACAATTTTCTGAATAACATTCACATATTAAAACCATGGTTTACAAATTCCATCGGCTTGTCTCACCCAACATACTTAGCCACTTAGTGGTTCCTCTGGCTTAGATAATGGCATAAAGAGATTATACCCTCGCAATGAAATGTTCAGTTTCTTTCCCCAATCTCAAGGGCTATCATCAGAATTACATTTTTTTTTAAAAAAAATGTTCCTGGT